CCGCACACCACATACACACACTGCCCCACACACAACACATGCACAGACACATATATACATGCATAGAATACATATATACATATATGGTGCATGACACGACAAGAAAAACTGAAAGGCGAAGAAAGAGGTCAAACTAACACATATTTTTGAAGATAGTTCAGAATGCTATAACTAAGAATCAATTGAAACAATAATGGACAAGATTATCCTTCACCTGCCAACCATAAAAAATTACTATAGCGTGTTAAGTCACACAGATGATACCTGAGAAGTTTAGAAAGCATGACCATGATAAAATGAAAAATAAGCAAATACAAGCATTGTTTAGAACCTGGGAAGTGCATTAGTGTCATTAACATTCTTCTTCACAAAGTCATTGTTCCAATATAGGACATAAAGGAACTAGGTCTCTTACTACTCACTTTTCTTCGTAGGGTAAGTATAAAAGAAAATATTTCTTTATTGGCATAGAGTTCTTTAAGCCACGGAATAGTGAGACCTGAGGTGGTTTTGAAGATCATTGACATATATACAATCGATAACTTTTTTAGAAGAAAAAGTTGGCAGTTCTTTGACAAACAAAATTATCCAGCCTACTTGGAATTTGGAAACAATATGAGCTTACAGTCATATAAGATCTCAAACATTCTAGAAAAAAGAACAAGAGAGAAGTTGAGTAGGTAATTCTTATATAAATTAAGTGCACAGTAGAATTGTTAAACCAGGATATTATAGTGTGAACTGACTTACTGTAACCAAACATTGTGCCTCGCTCACAGACCATAACGTTTTGATTCCCAGCAAGCCTAACTTTTTCAGCAGAGTTTACCATGACCTGTTAGTTACCAAGAGCCAAGAAAATACAGGAATGATGTGATTGTATTTTATATAAATGGAACTATTAGCTCAGATATTACATGATATCATATAGATCCTAAAGAGGAGATATTAAATGAGCACAAACAGGATATCAAATTATCAACAAAGTCCTTACGATCAGTAACATATCATTTTTATTACTTACAGAAGGAGCACAAAACTGGCCCTTTTTGATATTGATAATTTTCCCAGTCTTGGCAGCTGCAGCCAAGAGATCAGTCTGTAACAGTGGAATAACTATTTTGACGTTAGGGGGAAAAAGGACCGTATGCTCCTTTAAAAATTCATAAGACAGAACCAAGTGTAGAAAGCATAGACAGCTATCATCTATCGAGGGAAATGCCAAAATCTACCAAAATACCTGTCTGCAGAGGAAGGCAGGAATCTGAATTATATCAGCAACTCTTCCAACAGCTTCACACTGGATGAAAATAGATAGGCTAAATAACTTAATAAGTCAGATGCTGAACTGCGTTATAGGCCAGAGTTTACTGCATAGACCTAATAAACCTAAGGGCAACAAATACACCTCTCAACTGATGCTCGAGTTATGTCTGATTGAATTTTATTGGAAAATTCGTTCTCTGTTATTTTTAGGCATATCCAACTATGAGCACAATAGTTCGCAAAATGCGAAACTATGTCATTTCTCTTAGTTAGAATCAAGATATTCTCCATGCGTCTCTAGCATGGAAAATAAAGAACTTGATAACGGAAAAGTAAAAAATAACATAGCGGAAGTGCATCAGATTCTAAATATATCAAAAGAAACGAACAATTGACATTGTTCTTATAACTGTTAGGTAACTTGTTAACTGCAAAAGGAAGCAAGAACTTACCTGGCTACTCTCATGCACATCTGTCACTATAGGAAGATCATATGTCAGTTTAACCTTCTCAAGTATCTGCATTATCATAAATAAAAAGATATTGTAACAACTCTAAAAAAAGGGAAAACTGTTGCATATGCAATATTTCCTGCATTATACAGGTAAAACATTGTAAACATTGCTAAAAATGCCTTAAAAAGAAGCGGATATTGATAATCATCCATATTATCATTTGATCCTCTTATGATTGAAATAATATTAGCTATAAACAAGACTAAAGGTCAGAAAAGATCCAGAAACAATCTATGAGATTTTTTATGAATATTTATTGACTAGACTTGAACCTAACCCTTTTGGCTTGTACCTAACTCCCACAAAGGCAACTAGAAAAAGAGATGGTCCTGTCATAAAATGTTGCTGGCCATTGATGATTAGATTAGGTCTACCTTTCTAAATAATGTAAAGTCATTCAACTTAGAGCAAACTTCAAGTAACTCATCTATTTACTTATCTTAAAGAAATAAACATTTTACTGATCTCTGCCAAGATTGTCACCATAGACATGAATTCTTGTTTTTAAAATTTTCCTAGAAAGGAAATTAGTCATTTATCCTCTGAGACACCCTTCAAATATTGTAATTGATTTTGTGGTGAAGCTATGCAATGAAATCAGGAAGTTAGAAATATAAAAATTATAAAGGAGCATAAAAAATCCTTACGAACAGGTGTCAAGAAGTGAGATGAAGTAGGAGGCTGTCAATAGCCATCATTCTGTGCATTTCTTTACAACCACAAACTTCCCCTTTCTTTTTAAATTTAAGATGCCTAACATTAGCCAATTAGAAGATGGCTTAGTGGACTAGAATATTGGAAATTAAGAAACAATATATGCGAAAAATGAGCATAGCAAAAATGATAATGTTATGGTTGACGTGTGGATATACACTAAGAAATAGGATGATAATTAAGAAATAAATGCATGCATGGGAAGTCAAAGGTTGTACTAGTTGAGGATAAAATTAGAGAATCAATGAGATCGTTTGGCCATGTGCAACATACGCTACAAAATGCACAAATTAGGGAAATGCTAAGATTATAATTAAGAGTAAATTGCATATAACCCCCTTATGTACCTTTAGTAGCACTTATCTCCCTTCACATCATTTATTAGCACTTGTCACCCTCAATTCATGATGGAGAGAGGGTTATATGCAGCTTATCCATCTCAAAATGTCAATCCATGGGTAATAAGTTCTAATAAAGGCATTGAGAGGCACTACTGAAGATTAAATGAGGAGCGTATCCTGCGGTAATCCTTATAATTAATGGAACAAGGAGAACAAGAGGTAGGTCTAAGAAAACTTGGCGGGAAGAAGTTAGGCAAAGTGTGAAAGTGGTTAATTTAATAGAGGAGATCATCTTTTAAAGAACCAAATGGAAGAGTACAACTCATGTATCCAGTCCAAAGTTTTGGGATAAAGGTCTGTGAACGTGAGTACAAATGTTTTCCCCATGCTCTTGCCCATGCTGAGCATGGGGGGACACGCTGCTCTTGCCTATGCTGTGAGGGTACAAGCATGGGAAGGGGGCACAAGATTCTCATTCTCCCATGACCAGCCCATGCTCCCTTGGTTCAGCCCACACCCTCTTCGTTTCCTATAAATAGGAGAGGAGTTTAAGAGAGAAGTGTGGGGGGAAATCTAGAGTGGAAGAAAAGAGAAGAGTGAGGAAGAGAGAGCTTGTATAAGTTTGGTATTTTCTTCATAGTAAAACCCCCATCCCGTGAACGTAGGCAAGTTTACCGAACCACATAAATCTCGTGTCTGTATTGTCTTAACTGTGAGTTTGCCATTGCTTGTAGGTTCCCTCGATATTTCAGTCCTAGAATTGATGAGAGGAAGAGTGTATATTTCACTTTGTTGAAATATTTTATTTTCTATTCTAGTTTCCTTTGAGAAATAAGAATATAGAGGTTGACTTATGCTTTTGTGAAAACGAAAGCCATGGCTCTCTCTCAGGTGATATCGCTTCCATGGCGTGAGGGCGTGACTCTACACTCAACAATTGGTATCAGAGTCCTTTATTCAGATTAGAAGTGATAAAATTTTTGATCTGAGGTGATGCTTGATTATTGTGTAGTGAACATATGATATTTGTTGGAATTCCTGAGAGAAGCAGATTTATTTATACAAGCGGAGAATAGCGTCAACAAGTAAAACAATTAAACTTGAAAAGTACGAGATCAAAAAGTTCAATGGGAAGAATGATTTCTCCTATTGGAGGATGCAGATGAAAAACTCATTGATTTCGTAAAAGTTGCACAAAGCTTTGGCGGGAAAAGAGAAGAAGCACAATGACGTGTCTGATAAGGATTGCAAAGAGCTAGATTTGAAAGCACGAGCGTCGATTATCCTATGTCTTGAAAGAGATGTGGCTTTCTTGGTGGATGGAGAGGAAACGACTGCGGACGTGTGGTTAAAGTTAGAGAGCACCTTCATGACGAAGAGTCTAACGAACCGGATCTATTTAAAATTCAAATTGTACACTTGCAAGATGGAGGAATGCTCGTCAATCCGGGAGTATATCAAAAGTTCGATAGGATCTTATCGGATTTGAAAGACATTGAGGTGACAGTGGAAGATGAGGATCAGACACTTTCGATAGGATCTTATCGGATTTGAAAGACATTGAGGTGACAGTGGAAGATGAGGATCAGACACTTCTACTACTTCTATCTCTGTCGAAATTTGAAAGACATTGAGGTGACAGTGGAAGATGAGGATCAGACACTTCTACTACTTCTATCTCTGTCGAAGTCTTATGAGAATCTGGTTCAAATACTGATGTTTGTGGGTGACAGTTTGTCGATAGATGAGACTAGAACGACGCTTCTAACGGATGATTTTTGAAAAATTACAACTAGTGATATGACCACTGATGATAACAAAGAACAAGCGCAGGGGTTTTTTGCCAGAGGAAGGGCCAATGAGCGAGGAAAAGACAAGGGAGGAAAGTCTAGATCAAAATCAAGACCTCTTGCGGAAAGATCGTATTTCAAATGCGGTGAGTTAGGGCATTTCAAAGTTAATTGTCCTAATAAGAGAGTAGGTGGGAAGAAGAAGAACAACAAGACTAAAAGACGAGAAGACAAGGAAGAGACGAGCTACGCTTCAGGGGAAGGGAGCGATAAGGAATGCTATGTCTTCACGAATGGCGATGATACCTCCGGGAAGTGGATACTTGATTATGATTGTTCTTACCACATGTGTCCAAATAGAAAGTGGTTTACTACCTACAAGAGCATTGATAGTGGAACTGTATTGATGGGGAACAACCATATTTGTAAATCGGTGGGGCTAGGTGATATTAAGATCCAGATGCATGATGGAGTGATTCGAACCTTGACGGATGTAAGGCACGTTCCCGACTTACGAAAGAATCTTATCTCAGTGGGTGTTTTGGACTCAGGGGGTTGTAAGATTGTAACAGAGAACGGAGTGAAGATGGTTGTTCGAGGTTCCTTAGTAGCGATGAAGGGCATTCGTCACGGTAACCTATATATTCTCTTGGGTACGACGGTGATATGAGATGTAGCTGTTGGAACTGATGGAAGTGGTGGAGACCCATGTGATCACACACGGTTATGATATAGACGGTTTGGGTACATATCAGAGAAGGGTCTAGCTATGCTCGGTAAGGATGGTTTGTTGAAGAATCTGAAGAAGCCTTGTATGGATTTTTGTGAGGACTGCGTGTATGGAAAAGCACACAGGGTCGATTTCTAATAAGTAATCATAAGAGCAGAGGGATACTAGATTATGTGCACACGGATGTTTGGGATCCGGCTTCGATAACTTCTAAGGGTGGATCCAGATATTTTGTCTCATTCATAGATGATCATTCGAGGTATGCTTGGATTTATTTTCTAAAGCATAAGAATGAGGTATTTGAAACATTCAAGAAGTAAAAGGTGATGGTTGAGAACAGGACAGGAAAAAAATTAAAAACATTAAGTTCTGACAACGGTACAAAATATACAGATGGTGCATTCAAGGAGTTCTGTGATCAGGAGGGGGTTGCCAGACATTAGACAGTTAGATCTACACCACAACAAAATGGGGTCGCGAAGAGACTGAACCGAACATTACGGGAGAAAGCAGTGAGTATGCGATCATATGCTGATTTGGACAAAGAATGGTGGACAGAGTCAATTGCTACATCTTGTTATATTGTGAATCGATCCCCACATTCGATATTGGACGGTGATACACCCTATCGGGTGTGGTCAGGGGAGCATGCAGATTACGATAGGCTCCGAATTTTCGGATTTACCGCCTACTATCACATCAATGAGGGAAAGCCTGACGCGAGGGCTAAGAAGATAATTTTCTTGGGGTATGCAAAGGATGTAAAAGGCTATCGTCTTTGGTGTACAGAAGATTCAAAGTTCGTGATCAGCAGAGACGTTACCTTTGATGAGAAGTTCATGATTGTTAGGATGCCCAAAGATGATGGTGTTGAGACTGTTGGGAATTCTATGTCCCAGGTTATTGAGATAGAACCTAAAGACCAACCAGGTTCTAGTCGTGTTCAAGTGAAAAATCAGGTAGATAATGAGCTTGAGCAGGAGGAGGTTCAGCGAGCAGGAGAATACACAGGCATTACAACAACAGCAGCTCAATGATAGCTTGGTTTCCACTAGGCCAAAACGAGCATACAAGCAGGTACAGAAGCTGGGGGCTGATCAATCCCTGAAGCACTATGGATAGGTTAATTTGATCGAGTACGCACTCTCGGTGGAGGAAGATGAGCCGGTCTCCTTCAAGGAAGCTATTCAGGATAGAGATAACGAGAGTTGGTTGGCTGCGATGAAAGAGGAGATGGAATCTCTCCGGAAGAACCAAACATGAGAGGTGGTCTCATTGCCCATAGGAACAAAAACTATAGGTTATAAGTGGCTGTATAAAAAAAAAAAAGATCCTCCAGAGCTCGGTGGTACGAGGTACAAGGCGAGGCTAGTGGCTAAGGGGTTCGTACAAAGAGAGGGTGTGGATTATAATGAGATATTTTCTCCAATGGTGAAACACACTTCTATTCGGGTGCTATTGAGTATTGTTACTCATGGTGATCTTGAACTGGAATAACTCGATATCAAGACGGCCTTCTTGCACGGAGACTTAGATGAAAAGATCTATATGTATCAACCTGAGGGCTACAAGGTTGAGGATAAGGAGCATCATGTATATCGCTTGAGAAAATTACTATATGGATTGAAGCAATCTCCTCAGCAGTGGTACAAGCGATTTGACTCCTTCATGCTGAAGTATGAGTTTTCCAGAAACGATTATGATTGTTGTGTCTATATTCGGAAGTTTTATGGAGGTGATTATATCTATCTTTTTTTATATGTGGATGACATGCTTATTGCTTTGAGGAGCAAGGTGGAGATAGATAGGCTAAAATATTAACTTGGTAAAGAGTTCGAGATAAAGGACATGAGCGCTGCAAGAAAAATACTGGGTATGAAGATTAGAAGAGAGCGGGCAAATCGGCGATTGTTCTTAAGTCAGAAGGGCTATATAGAGCGGGTGATCGTGAGGTTCAGGATGTAAAGTGCTAAGTCGGTGGTGACTCCATTAGCTCCACACTTGAGGTTTTCAGACAAACAATCTCCCACTACAACAGAAGAGAAGGCACGCATGTAGCGTGTTCCCTATGCTAGTGCAGTTAGCAGTTTGATGTACGCAATGATGTGTACACGTCCTGATATTTCACAGACGGTTAGTGTGGTCAGCAGATTCATAGCGAATCCGGGAAAGACGCACTAGGAAGCAGTGAAGTGGGCCCTGAGATACTTAAAAGGTACCGCGGATACGGGTTTGTGTTTTGGTGGATATACATGTCAGATCGACGGGTTTATGGACTCAGATTATGCGGGCGATCTAGATAGACGACGATCTACTACTGGTTATATATTCAGGATATATGGGGCTCCAGTTAGTTGGCGATCGATGTTACAGGTTACAGTGGCTCTTTCTACTACAGAGGTCGAGTATATGACCGTGACAGAGGGAGTGAATGAAGCATTGTGGTTATGGGGTCTTCTAGACGATTTGGGGATTGAGTAGGAGAGTGTGAACTTATGGTGTGATAGTCAAAGTGCGATTCACTTGGCGAAGAATCAAGTTCACCATGCTCGTACCAAGCATATCGACGTCAGATAGGGCTGAGCATGGTTCAGTCCAAACCGAAAAAACCGACCGAACCGACCCGAACCGACCCGAAAAAATCGGTTTTATGAGTAGGACGGTTCGGGTCGGTTTGAAAACTTTTCAACCCGAACCGACCCGAACCAACCGAATATAGTGCAATACTACCCATTCTGATCTCAAACCTACCTGACCCATCCCCAAAGAGTCAAAGACTCAAACCCTAACTCATTTTCTGAATCATTATGGGTTAAAAATAATATCATTATATCAGTATTTAATACTTTATAATCTCCTACTTTGTTGATATTTTTTTTCTTTAACACAGTTTGTTGTTTGATAAGAAGTTTGATGAAGTTAGAACCGAACAAACCGAACCGAACCGCACCGAACCGACTTACAACAGTTCGGTTCGGTTTTGAATTATAGGCGGTTCGGTTCGGTTGTTCAAATTTTGATAAAAACCGAACCGAACTGACCGTTGCACACCCCTAACGTCAGATATCATTTTGTGGGGGATGTCATAGAGGAAGAAGATATTTCTCTCATGAAGATGCATACGAATGAGAATCCCGCGGATATGTTAACCAAGGTGATCACAGGTAGCAAGTTTAAGCATTGCTTGGACTTGTTTCATATCAGCCCGTGTTGATCTGCCCAAAAAAGCATGGCCCTTCGGGGCGATGATGGGTGTGAGGTGGAGACTATATTGGAGAATAACTACAGAACTATGGTTAGTTTGATCCCGGTGGATGGTACATAGGCAGCCGCGGTATAGTGACGCAGTTGGTTTAGCCGATGGAGATCTCTTTGATGATGGTTGTGGGGTTCTTCTGGTGTTCGTCCAAAATTTAAGGTTTATCAAATGATGTACGAGGTGGAGAATTGTGAACGTGAGTACAAATATTTTTCCCATGCTCTTGCCCAGCTGAGCATGGGGGGACACGCTGCTCTTGCCCATGCTGTGAGGGTACAAACATGGGAAGGGGGCACAAGATTCTCATTCTCCCATGACCAGCCCATGCTCCCTTGGTTCAGCCCACACCTCTTCGTTTCCTATAAATAGGAGAGGAGTTTAAGAGAGAAGTGTGGGGGAAAATCTAGAGTGGAGGAAAAGAGAAGAGTGAGGAAGAGAAAGCTTGTATAAGTTTGGTATTTTCTTCATAGTGAGACCCCCCTCCTGTAGACGTAGGCAAGTTTGCCGAACCACGTAAATCTCATGTATGTATTGTCTTAACTGTGAGTTTGTCATTGCTTGTAGGTTCCCTCCATATTTCAGTCCTAGAACTAATGAGAGGAAGAGTGTATATTTCACTTTGTTGAAATATTTCACTTTCTATTCTAGTTTTCTTTGAGAAACAAGAATATAGAGGTTAACTTGTGCTTTTGTGAAAACGAAAGCCAGGGCTCTCTCTCATGTGATATCGCTTCCGCGGCGTGAGGGTGTGACTCTACGCCCAACAAGGTCTTTGTTGTTGTTAAGGTGTTCTAAGGTGTATTAACTTCAAAACAAAATTGTATATTGAAATGTTTTCTCCATCATAGTAGAAAATGTACAGTTCTTCATCATAAGTTGATGAAAGAAAACATCACGATCTCCATAAGTTTGTTATAGGATTCTTTCTCAGAAAAAAGTTTGATAGAACTAAAAGTTTAATCTATATTTTACTAAGGTGATAACATGCAAGAAGCTAGCCATACTAGCAAAACACATCTCACTCTGTATAGCAAATTATACTCTAAAAGTGAGTGCACCCCTTTATTTCTTCCTTTTGTTTTTTTTTTTGAATAGAATCAATGGACTTAGGAACTTCAAAACCTTCAGAGATGATAGCCAATAACCTGATCCTAAAAGGTCAGCAACTTTTAAGTATAACCCATTCTCCGCGCATGCAAATTTAATTGGCAAATGTACATTATAAGGTAAGCTGTCACTGTTACTTTTGGCATGCATGTTATAGTGCTACAAAACAACATTCTTGAAGCATTTTTCAGCCACCAGGATAAACACTGCATTAGTAAGCTATGAAAATAATTTCCATTAATACCTTCAAGCCCTCCTCTAAGCCAGGGCCACGAAACGATTTCGAGGAAGTACGATTAGCCTTGTCAAAACTCGACTTGAAAACCAACTTCAATCCAAGCCTAACCAGCAATAAACATAAAATCCTAAATTAGCACCATATTTAATAAAAACACATTACTTACAAGAATCAGATATATGAAATTTCCCAACTTACTTAGATGTCACATCTTTTATGCGCTTGGCCATCTTCATTACATGCTCCTCAGACTCAATCACATTAGGCCCAGCCAACAAGAAGAAGGGCTCTGCGTTCTGAACCAAATCCCAGAAAACAATAAAATCTAACTCAATAACAAAAAAAAAAAGAAAATACTATATGGGTATGCGCCAAAATCGAACCTTGAGCTGGTTGAAAAGAGCCACAGAGCTATCCATCTCTTGATTGATTAATCTGCTGCATAAACGAACGAACAGATGTGTGAGTAGAATGAGTTTTGCCTTAATTTAGAAATTTTAACAAACAGGTGATGGGCATTTGCCCATTAATGTGGATCCAGATCTCAAGAGCTTGGGAGTTGGGATCACAAATGAAAAGGGCATTACCTCGTGTCTGAAGCTTAACAGGCTCTACAGGGATTAACAGGGAATGAGTGAAATAGTTCTTTTTCCTTTTTTTAATTTTTTATTTTTGGAGGAATGAGTGAAATAGTTAAGAGAGTGGCATCATTTGTAGTGTTGTGCATTGTGATTGTATTAGTTTAATTTTGCGAATATTCCATTATTCTTTGCTCTTTGCTGTTTTTGTGTTTATAACGAGTTTCATGCAGTTCGTACAAAACTACCAGCTGTGAAACCCGGACATGACAATGGTCGGCCCACATCGGCCCATGGGCTCTCTGGCCTGGCCGTAGAAAAACGTGCTCTCTACCTAATATGGAACCGAATGCTATGTTGCTTGTATTTGTATTCATTTAAAACATTCGAATTCGAATACGATTCCTAATTTCGTTCTTTGAATTTCTTCGAATTCAAATACACGTATGTTTCGAAATATCTTCGAATATTTTCCGAATATTAAGGTATATATCCATTTGATTAATAATTTAGGGTTTGTGAATACTAAACTATTTCAATTAAGAATAAACTTTTATTTGGTCAAAGAGATTTTTAAAAACCTCCTTAAGTTCATCAAAATAAACTTAAATTACAAAAAAGAAATGGACCAAGATCAAAATATTATGTAAATAATACTATAAATAATAAGAGATGAAATATTAAACTCTTAGTTGATAATCAAACAAATCAAATGTACATATGGATAAGTTATATGTCTTTATGAACAGAATACTAGAAACTATTTGTTTATAAGCGAAGCGAACTACCAAAGATGAGAAATTGACGGACTATTTTTAAATTATTAGATTTAATAGTTTATATAAAGGCAGGTAGTATATGAATTATGAATTCGGTTCCGTTTGGATACCATGGTGTTTTACTTATTTCTATGGTGTTTTTGTCAAAAATAAAACAACATGCGTTTGAAAACCATAGTGGTTTTTGAGCTAAATCATCCTCAAACCAAAAATATGATACTTATTTCAAAACACCTTTAAGGTGTTTTAAGTTTGTTGTTTTGGTTTTGAGTTTGAGAAGGTGTTAATATAATATCTAACATAATATATTAAATGTAATTAATATAGAGTTATTATCAACATGCTTATTATATTACACTATACTATATAATATTATAGTTAATTTAATATATTAGTAATATTTATTAAGTAATATAAAAATATAATAAATAAAATATCTTATATAATAATATAATATAATATTAAATAACAATATTTAATATATTATTAAGGTATTGTATAATAAATAAATAATAATAAAATATAAATAAACTAATAAAAAATAATAAAAAACTTATTGATAATAAATAATAATATAATGATGATATAATAATATACTATACAATAGTATAATTGCTATAATATTATTAACTTTTTAATAAATAAATTATAATAAACTAATAATTATAAAATATTATATAATAGTAACATATTTAATAATAAAATAACAATATAATAAGAATAATATAATAACATATTGTATAGTAAATGTAATATAATATATAAAATATTAATATATTATGTAATAAATAATATAATTTATTATTAAGTAAAATAATATTTAATAATAAAATAATTTTTTGCTAACAGATGTTAATGTAAAAATAATATATTTATAATATAATAATATTTATTTATATCATTAATACTAATATATTATTAAAGTACTATTAATAAACTCTAACATACTAAAAACTATAATATATTATATAATATTAAAATATTTATAATATATTAATTTATTAAAATCATACTAGTATATATTATATAATATTAAAATATTTATAATATATTAATTTAGTAATAACATACTAGTAATAACATAGTATTAACATTATTAATAATATTATATATATGAATAATAGTATACTATAATATTATATTAATAATAGTATAATATTATATTAATAATATTATTATTATAAAAATATTGTATAATATATGAT